AGATTCCTGCAAAATTTCTTGTCGAATGATACAACAATGTTTATATGTAGTTTACTGGACTACTATGTTGAGTTTTCAATATGAGCAACATAACTTATTCCCCAATAATGGTTAATGTTGATAACAATGGTAGATAATACTAATAACAAACTAATATTTCTTCACAACTTTTAATAAATCATGCCAACATTGAATATATCATTTTGTGCAGTATTGTTCTTTAACTACTTGAAATACAGTGCTATTGAATACATCATTTTGTGCATTATTGTTCTTTAACTCCTTGAAATACAGTGCTGTTTTTCACCATCAAAGCAAAGATTTTGAAGAGTATAACTGCAAGATCCATTACGTGTCCTAGGGCTTTTGTGCTTCTTGCCATCTGTTATTTTGGCACAAATCTTATTGTTTATGAAAAAGAAATAGTTTGAGAAGGTTCAATTGGCTGAAATGAATTTCTAGACTCGTGTATTTATCGCCATCAAATTCATAAAACGAAGAAATTTTTTCTTGTGAATTTTTTATCAAAATCCTAGTGTGGGTTGACTAAAAGTGAATATACACGTATACTTTTATTTGTAGAATTATAAATTCTAATGGCGTGTAGACAACCGATAAAAAAACCGGTTTTGGTTCGGAAGTCGCCGCGTTTTTCACCATCAAAGCAAAGATTTTGAATGAGTATGTGGCCCCCAAAAATCAGGGGGATAGATATTATGCAAAATTCTTATGCAATGTTGCGTAATGTTAACTAAAAGTGTGTGGGGTTATAATAACATAAAAATATGGCTTGATTATGTCATTGTTGGGTTAAGTAAAAAAGGATCTACCGTGTTTTATTCTTTACATTGTGTTGTTTGATTGCATTTGGATCTAACTCATATCCATCACATTAAATTATTAATTTGTTTGGTTGGGAAGGTATGATTAAAATGTAATTATTTACACTTCGTTGTATTTGTCAACAATCTTAGGATGTATTCTTTTGAGATTTCTAAACTCTTTTAACTTAACTTTTAAAAGTCTTTAGTCCACGTTTTCTTTTTAGGATAATGCGGGATATCCTGCTTTATCCCACATTAATTTCACATTTGATTCAAAGGAAAGCAGCCCGCCTGTCCAGTATTAAAATTCATGTTATCCTGTTTTAATGGGACAACTCAATCCTACTTTTTTGGTGGGATATCAACTATCTTGGTATGTGTAGTACCAAACATGCCCCCATATTTTTGTTTTTTGATTTAATTGAAAGGAGTATAACAATATTTTACACCACATACATATTTTGATTTTTTTAATCTAAACATATCCTACCACTTATCCTATATAACAAACATAGCATTAGTCCAATCCCAACAGTACAATCTTTTCCAATTGGACTAAATTAGTCCAATCTCATCCTGAAAAGCAAACAAGTGCTTAAGGTATTTATTTGAGATTTTTAAAAAGACTTGAGGCATTTAACTAAGAAAAATGCTACAAATACATGATAAATGTACATACAGGTGTACATAACACTCAGGTGGATTGATGTCCACTTGATTTTTTATTTTTGGTGTATCTCATTCAATGTGAATGGTATGTACATCCCTATGTACAATATTATGTACCTATAGCATTTCTCTATAATTTATTAGAGTGAATTTGTTAGGACTTTTTAAGATTTCGAGAGATTTCAAAAGAAAAAATTATATACGAAGTATTAGAGATTGAGATTTGTCAAGATTTTTTTTAAGATTAGCGATATTTCCACAGTTAAGATTTCATAGGGCTCCTTAATCTAAGTTTTTTTAAAAAGTCTCAAAATATTACTTCAAATCTCAAACGAATAAATTGCTTCATATTTTGGTTAGATCATGAAATACTCGATCTCGAGACATGTTATAGAAAGGAGAAACAACTTGGCAAAGAAAAACTGAAAATGTTATGGCTAATTGAAGATTGGCAAAGAAAAACTGAAAATGTTAATTGTTTAGTTAAGTGTTGTTATTTATCACAATAGTATATTGAAGGAAAGAGAACAACAACTTGTGTATGTGATTAAGGCGACGATTGGTTTGGTAGACAAATAAGTTAGCTTACAGCTTATTTAATTTGTTTATAAACTTCCTGTATTCAAATAAGTCTCGTTTGATATGACGAATTAAAAAAAAAAAAAAAAAAAAAAAAAAAAAAAAAACTCTGAGCTTATTTGATAATTTTTTTAAGTAGCTTTTCATATAAACTAGTTGAATTTTTTTATTTCAGTTACTAAACACTTTTATCATATAAGCTAGCTTTTGAACTGTAAGTGATAAATTAAAAATAAGCTATAAGCTAGCTTATCAGCTCGTTTTACTAACCTAAGTGTTAATCACTTGAATAAAAGTACGAAAAAGCAAATGTATCATCAGCCGAAGGGTTCACAAGCGATGAAAATGTTGTCAACCAAGTCTACTTTAACAGAATCCAAGTCTACTTTAACAGAGCAGTTACAATCTGACTTACCAAATAATATGCTGTCAAGATTTTGATTGTTGAGTTTGATATTATTATAATTAATTAATAATGTGTTATCAAGATCTCAATTGTTGATTTCAGTATTATAATTAAAAGGGTTATAGATGTTTGTCGCCGATTTAAATTATGGTGTTGCCAAAATCTTAATTTTGTTATGTCGGTAATATTTTGTAGTAACAAGTGTGTATGAATTTTGAGTATTACATATGTTTAAAACATTTTCGTGGGGAAAAAACAAGTCCACAATCCTAATAGAACCAACCCTGATACCATGTAAGATGCGGGGAGAAAACAAGTGCAATCCTAGGCAGTCCCAATAAAACCGGCCCTAATAACATGTAAGAAACGAAGGAAAAATGAGTGTTGTCCCACACAGATGAAGCGCACCAAAACAGAGAAAGCTCAAAACAAGCCCAAGTGAAGTTTCATACCAAAACTAATTGGTGGAAAAAAGAGTAGTCCATTAAACTTATAAATTAGGCTTATTTTCCTGTGGGGAAAAACCGGATGAGACAGTGTTGAATTTAACAGATAACCGAGATCGCATTAACTGGAGTTGATCCATCACATAAAAAACAAAAACATAAAGATTTCTTACAAAGAAACTGGCCAAAATGGAGCAGATGTTAACAAATGTCTCAAATTAAATTAGACTTTCCACATTATTTTCCTGTTCTACACAGGAACATACAACTAGGGAAGCTCATAAAACACAAAAAGACTTGTTCACTACATTTTTAAGTCACTATTAAATGTGTCAAATGATACACTAATTATTACCTGAAATGTCTGATGATGAAACCAAATCCAATAATCCGAACCGGCAACCGGTCACCTAACATGGACAAGTCTACAAATAGTTTACAGTTCATGTTAGAGGAGAAAAATGAAAATACAGATCACCGACCAATATCCCGTAACAAGAGTGTGTCCAAATTTTCGCCTCTTTATACCATGAATAAATAAATAGATCCCGCCAAGATGCAAAATTTGATGGAATACGAGCTTCCCCCGGTCGTCTCTCAACAACCGGCCCCTCATTCCTCATCATCCACAAGAATTTCTGATATACAATAACACAAATTAGGGATACTTAACAAAAATCTCAAAAGATCATCATTTGTAATTGTCCCTTGACCAACAATATGCATGTAGATCACCACGTACCTGCTCAAGAAAACCTCAACCCGGGATTCTCATCCATCGTCCACACAAAACTAGGCATGTCCATCCTCCTCCCAGCCACCGTCCGGTAAAGATACAGCTTCTCGACAGGGCAACTCTCAGGCCTCGTGTTCGGCGGACCCCTCTCGTCTATAACCTCAACATTCAGCCTTGGCATCTTGTGGCCTAGCAGCTTGCACGCCCCATAGCTGACCGAGCAAGACGACATCCAAAGGGATCGCATTGTCTCGAGCTTCGTGGCGTTGGCCAGCAGGGCCCCATCCCCAAATGGGCAATCTCTAATCTCTAGCTTCCTCAAGCTCTCGCAGCCCGAGAGCACGTGGTGAAGGCCCGAGTCACTTTCCCCAGCAAAGGCTATGGACAGCATCTCAAGTTTCTTGGCGTGGGTCCCGATGTGCTCGAAGACCCGATCTGTGAGGAGACCGGACATAGAGAGCCGCTTCAGCTCCTTGCAGCTCTCGACAATGGCTCCGAAACCGGCATCGAGTGGGTCGAGAGTGAGGTAGTCCGGGGCCTGGGGATCGATGATGCACAGCCGGAAGCAGATAAGGTTAGGCCGGTTCTGGGCAATGGTGATTAATGCGGCGTTCGACATCTGGCGGCAGAAGTAGAGGACAGACTGGAGCTTCGGGCAGCCTTGGGATACGGAGACGAGCCCTTGCTCGGTTAAGAAGACGTTAGGTTCGGCCCCAAAAGGATCGGAAGGGAACACGCGGAGTTCTTGCAAGTCCTTGCAAGACACGGAAAGAGCTTCTAGACCTGAGTCCTCAATGTAATCCAGAACCTGCGGTGTTGTTTATTGTTTAACAAGCATTATTAGTCCGTTTTATTTATTTATTTATTTATTTTTTATGCGAATTCAGAGCTTTGAGAGTTTTGTCTAATGGTCAGACAATAATAAACTTTAGTCACTGTAATTTTCTTATGCATTTTTTTGGATATTTCAGTACTGTAAAGCATTTTGGGGATAAAAAAACACATCAATGTAGTAGTCCTTCAGGAACATAAGTACCACAGAGTAAAGTTGAAGAAGAAAATTACTACCGTGCATACACCTAGGATCAAAACATTTAGGCACTCAGACTTAAGGACCTGTTTCGAAATTAAGACATGCAACAAATGACACTGCATCAAATTTAGAAAACAATAGAATTCCTGCAGCAGATTTATTTGTCATAAATTATTCAGAAAGAACAATTTGAAGATTCAATTCATTCCAAAAGTTTACACTCGGCCCCTTCATAACCACCAAACACTTTGTACATACCAGACAAGCAGGCAGGAAGAATATACATACCCACAAACGCCGTAGATGCCGGCACTGACAAATAAGCTTAATGAGTTCAGGACTTTGAACTGCAGCGAAGCTTAAGTTAAGTGATGTAATTCCAGAGCAGACTGAATACATGGCCGGAAGATAAGCTGGTACAACATCCCAGAAGCCAGACAAGCCCTTGAGTTGCTTACAGGACGAAAATGCTTCTGTCAAACTTGAGAATACTTCGGACTGGATCTCAGCTGAATATGCACCTGTACCTAACTCGACCAACTGCGGGGCCCGTTGGAGCAGGTTAGGGAGCTTCTCAAGGGGCACAGAACGACTCAACCTGAGAGTCCTAAGGTTGGGGCATCGTGCAACTAGACGCTCCAAGGCAGCGAAATTGACCTCTGAGTCTAAGCAGGAAATGTTGAGTGACACAAGAGAGGTGCAGTTATCAGGAAAATGGCTAAGCCAATGCCCGCTGATTTCCTCCACATCACAGTCCCTCAAATCTAGTTCTCTGAGATTCCTGTATTGCACAAAATATCCAAATTATCAAGGCTACTATGAGCCCATCAAAGAAGAATGTTTTACTTCATGAGGACCAACATATGTGGACAACAAAAACTGGAAGAAAATTGGAAGAAAATGAACTGTGAATACTCGATCCAAGATCATTCAGTGCATGCTTAAACCTTTATCACTCAAGTGCCAGATTAAACTTTACACTCATAAAATCGAAAGATTGCCACACTGGCACAAAATACACATCAAACATTCAACTGGATCACACACAATAAAAAATAAGAAAAAAAACTTGCCATTTCTTGGATCCTATTCATATAAACTTCCCTAAATCAATCCGTCAGAAAAAAACTAAAAGATAAAACAGAAAAACTTGCAATCAAAACTTTGAAATTCCGGGAACTAACCTGCAATTAGCAGCAATCGAGGCGAGGCCGTCCGTGGTGAACCCCTCACAAGACGAGAGCACCAAAACCTTGAAATTCTTAAACGATCTCGCAATCAGCTCGAGTCCCTCATCTGTAACCACCATCCGCTTGAGCCTGATCTCCTCAAGCAACGGATACGCCGCCGACATCGCCTTGATCCACGGCTGCACGTACCCACCCCAACCCTCCGGCACGAGATTGAAATCAGCAAAATGCGGCTTGCCCTTCATCTCCACCGCTCTGACCTCCGGAAACCGACGGATCACTATATCCGGCGACACCGCGTAGCAGTTCCCGACGAAAATCCGACGGCGGCACCACCGCTCGATGTCGTACCAGGACTTGCACACGAGCGAAACCGCGTTCCGGTCCTTGTCCGAGCTCAGGAACAAGAACACGTGCTCCAGAACCTCCTCAGGGAACGAGTACGCCATGGGAGGTAATTGCAGATCTGAGATTTCTCTTTTGAAAGAAAAAAAAAAATGGCTGAAAATGGCAAGATGAAAGAGGGAATTTTTATGTGTTTGAGACCATATGTGTAACCACTGGTGAGGGTAGAAGTAACTATGGTTTGAACAGAAGATCTCGATGCTGACACGTGGTGTTGGGTGAATCGTGACCGTCTATTTGAAAGGTTTTGGGACATTATCTGGTCGAAGCAAGAGAACAGAAGAAAGCCAGTAATGGAAGAGTGTCCGCGTCTACAGTGTAACTCTCTCTTCTCTCTCCCACGTGCGATTATGGAAAAATTAACATTGGTATTTTGTATTTTATTGAGGAAATTTGATTTGATGAAAGGTTTTTCTTATGAAACAAAAATATTTTTTTCAAGCGCTTGGATGAGATGGTTTGAGTCTCTTCCAGCTTAATCAGTGGTCTCGTGTGTTCGAGCCCTGGGAATACAGCAGTGTTAAAACTTTTGAGGGAGAACTTTAGCACCCTTGTGGTCCTACCCGGCTCGATTCCGGATTAGTGGGTTCTCATGTGGATCCGGAAACCGGAAGGTCACTGTACAAAAAAAAATATTTTTTCAAAAAAACAAATATATTTTATATTATTTACCCGCGGAGCCCGCGGCCCGTGTCGGGGTGGATTGGGCCAGATTATTGAAAAGAGGTGTGCTTAATTAAAAATAAAGCCCAACTTTTTGGCTTAAGGCCCAATGAAAGATTTGGACTATTAGTACCGCAAAAGCCCATCTAAATACATATCGCCTCTCGTTCAACTTATTTTAACTTCCAATTTATTATGTTGTTTATATCTCTGCATTGAAATCTGTAAAACCCTAACTTCACATTCTCCACCACCGCCGCCGCCTCACAGTCGCCGGAGGCCGACTCTATTGTCCGACAAGCCATGCCGAAGGTAAAAACGAACCGGGTCAATTATCCGGAAGGATGGGAGCTAATCGAACCCACTCTTCGCGAGCTACAAGCAAAGATGAGGGAGGCCGAGAACGATCCGCACGACAACAAGAGAAAATGCGAGGCCCTCTGGCCGATTTTCAAGATCGCGCATCAGAGGAGCCGGTACGTTTTCGATCTGTACCACCGGAGGAAGGAGATATCGAAGGAATTGTACGAGTTCTGTCTAGATCAGGGGTACGCCGATCGCAACCTGATCGCGAAGTGGAAGAAGCCCGGTTACGAGAGACTCTGCTGCCTGAGGTGTATGCAGCCCAGGGACCATAACTTCCAGACGACATGCGTTTGCCGAGTCCCGAAGCATCTGCGCGAGGAGAAGGTCGTGGAGTGTGTGCATTGCGGCTGTGGGGGCTGTGCGAGTGGGGATTGAGGATTGCGGTCGTGAATAGGTACTGTTTTTACCTGTTCATTGAATTGTTTATTAGAACCCTCACATGGTCTGCGTTTGAATTATTCGAATAGAAACCTCTGATGATGAGTATATGTGGTGCTTAAGAGGATTGATTTCTATCTTAAAGAAGACATTTTTTTTTCTCGATTTGTTGTTAGACTGACTGGACGTTGGTTTTGAAAAAAAGATACATTTAGTAGTGAAATTTTGTCTTAGAATGCATTTGAGTTAAAGGGGAAATGGTAGCTTCTACTTTGCATACAGATGAATAGGAGATATCGGTTTTCAGGACCTTAGTATGTTACATATAAACCAAAAGAAATAACTATGGAAGCTCAGGACATTAGTTTGTTATATATAAACTGCAAGAAATAACTATGAACCAGCTAACTATTTATATGTTATTGACGATTTCTTTTGTTAGATAGGTACTGTATTTCAATTGAAAGTCTATTTACGATCTTTTAATTGGTTGGGCTAATATGTTCAAAATGCCTGTGATGACAAGAGTATTGGCAAGAGCTACGGCAACAAAAAAATGCGCGTCCATGGGAGTAACCATGGTGTTGTTGTTGCTATGATGAATGTGCCAATATGCTAATCTGAGGCCTTCTATAACTTGGTTTTATATACACTATTTGGTTCTTTTCTCTCCAGAATTCGTGTGATTTCATTTTTTAGTTTTTTTATTGTTTGAGTTGATTTGTATTTCAGTGCCATGTCTTGAAAAAGAAGTTTAAGTCAGATTGTCTGTTGTGTTCCAAATGCTAGGTCATATTTCAATTTCAATCGTCGACAAGCTTCAGTTGATTTCTTATGGCACGAAGGAAGTGCTTTTTGTGGCGGCAATGGTTCTTGCCTTCATCCACTGTAACACTGAGCATACAAATCTAATACCATCGAAGGTTGTATTGTTATGACCACCTAGTACATGTTCACTTGGTACCCTCTTCTGTTTATGGGAGGCTGTACTTTTTTTTTCTTTTGATGGAACTATGGGAGGCTGTGATTAATTGAGCATGTAATGGTTCTTATTTGATCTTCAACTTGACAACGACCAATGGAAATTGTATTGTAGGATGTGGGTTTGTTTGAGGCACAAAGTCGCCCTAAAATGAATTTGCTTCTGTCGTATATTCTTTTAATTATGATCGTAATGGTTGATTGTGGGTTTACGTTCGTTGTTTTTGAAGTAGGAAAGATGTGTGGTGAACAAAGAAATCCATTTGTGACAGCATATGGTCAGCTATACTCAGCTATCATCATACCAAAACTTACAATTAAGGAATGATATTAGTCTTCCTTCTCTGTCATTAGATTAAATCTTTGAGATACTTTTTCTAGCTATCCCTCAAATTAAACAGCAAGAAAAATAGAAAACTGACCAAACACAGAAATCAACATAAACACAGTAAATTTCAAATCTTGGTTTTGCTCATGTACAGCCACCAACCATTGTTCCATATTACAAAATACATAAAACCATCCAAAATAACTTAAATAAACAACTCGAAAAAACACCCGCTGTAGTCAACCGAGAGTATCATTACTGTTAAGTCAAATCACACTCTGGAAGTAATCTTTATCACTGACATCACTCGCAAGCGATTTTAGTATCAAAACTGCTAAGACAAATCGCAAATGCCTGGAAGGCCGAGATCGGATACTGATAATCCATGGTAAAGATATCCTTCCCCACCTTACCAAACTGGAGAATAACATTATTATCCTGCTCCTGCACATCACCTCGGTTATTCTCCACCGAAGCCACCAATTGGAAATTTTTGACAGAGGCAACTGTCACGCGCCCGTTGAAGTTAAGGCACCAGCACTGAAGCTGCTCGTGCCACCTAGGCGCTTTGTTCTTTAAAACCAGCGCATCATCCTTGGGTCCCACCAGTGGCCCGGATCGGAAGCTATCGACCCGAGTTGACTTTGACCGGAAAAAAGGGAGTGAAGAAGGGAAAGATTCGAAGTTGCCAGGAACAAATGCGGTCTGTGTGGGGGCCACGCCATCAGGCTCGACTGCCGATGCAGGTATGGCATTCATTATGCACTGCATTCGTCTCGGGCCCCTGTTTGTAAATTTTGTAATTTTGGAAGAAAACCTTAAAACTTTATTCAGAAGCATTTATGCATGAAGATGTTAAAATTGGACATTCAGCTCATTTTGGAAGAAAGCTTAAAACTTTATTCAGCCGCTCATTTTATCTGACTCCTATTAAAAAGAATCAGGGGAAGACTAATTTAATTTAATCACCTTGAACCCAGGACATTCAGCTCATAGGATATGTGGACCACTGGGAAGTTGCCAGCAGGGACTTTAGGGGAAATTTGCCTCAATCCGACTAATCTCGTGGAACGAGATTTGGTTACTTTAGCTCCAACATTTGGGGGCTGGGCGTCATAAATTGTGAACTTGGTACCCAAGAAATTAGACCTTTACACAGAAGTAATGAGAATATGTATAAATAAAAAAAAAAAAAAAAAAAACCACCTATAAAGCCTTTTTTAAGTTGGGGAAATAGTTTCGATACCTCAATTTTCCAATGTAGTTGTTGCTGCCTTTTGATACATCGTCAGCATTCAGGGATATAATGTAGTCCGTGTAAGTTGGACGTCTACATCTTCGGGCAGCAAGAAGAAATTTCCCATCATCATTAGAAGCTGTTGAAGAAAAAAATTACAAAAAAAATAAAAATAAAACAGAGATACTATGTATATTGAATCATAAAACTGCAACAATGACCTATTCAGGAAGGGAAAAAAATATAGGTCAACGAAAGTATCATTGTCGAATGTTGGAAAAGAATAATGAAGAACTTATGATCTTTACCTTGGCTCAAATTGAGGTAAAGGTTATAGGTCTGAGTCCCACGATTCCGCTTAATGAAGCACTGAATCACGGTGTTCCTAGGACCAGGCTGTAAAAACACCCCAAAATTTTGTTTAAGCACATCTCGAAGGGAGACAAAAAAGCAAATAATAGAAGCCAATATGATGGGAAAAATAACAAGACTTGGATGATCCATATACTTTTTAAATGGCTAAATGATTTTGCCTTCATAAAATCCAATTCAGTGTAAATAGCCGTGATAAAATATTTGCTTGTATTAGGCACGCTAACTGCTGTAGCAATCGAAAGACGTCGCACTTGGCAATCAGATAAAGAGGCATGACTTTAGATCTTATACATATAAAACTAAGCATTGTCTGAAAACAAAAACCATGCTGCCCTAAATCCCAACAAGTTATACAGAGCCAAAAAAAAGCAAAAACAAAAACAAAAGCAGCTTCCTTGCTTTGGATGTATTCACTTCAAAATTTGGTCTTCATGTAAATAGTTCGCAACTACATCCCCAACAACTCCAATTATTATTCTGATATATTGAAAATGTCATAGAAAATCAGGACACCATATCGAAGATAAAGCTACATCACACGGTATCGACAAGGCTTCAAATAGCTTCATTGAAGATTTAAGAAACTACAGAAGGTATATTCGAAAATTCAATACAATGGCAAAACAAAAAAGGGCCATAAACTACCACTAAAAGAATTAAATCACACCACCCGGCAGAAGACGCAAAAAATCGGCAAGAAAACGACGAACCTGCTTCAGAGAAATAGGGAATGTCAATTTTTCAGAAACTTCCAAATTCATCACTATTTCCTTCATAATCTCTCTCCAACTCCTACAAACACCACCGCAAGCAACCACATTTCTCCTTTGCGGCCAATTACAATCAGACTCCTCGATCCGAGCAAGCACGTCCCTTAAAAGCTCGGACGGCATATTAGCCCAACAACTTTGCCGCATAGCATCAACGACACACACATGACGATCCTCGACCACACGATGGGACCTGGACCTCATCCTCCCAAATTCACCCTTCATATCTTGAATTATACTCTTGAATGACATTATTAACAAATGCTATCTCCAAAATCTGAGCTAAAACCCTAAAAATCTAAACTTTTGACCGTATTAATTCTTTGATTGCCCAATAGAAAGGCTTTTTTGGGGGGTTTAAGGTTTCTACCAAGCTGCTTTTCTCTGAAAACATGCTAAAAATTTACAATAGAAACCCCGACAACAAGCAACCCCTGTAAGAATCAGAAACATATTCAGCTAAAGAAGCTTTATCTGCACAAATTTACGAACCCTAAAATTTAAAATTCTTGAAAAAAAAAAAAAAAAAAAAAAAAAACGTGTGGTCTAAAGAAACACTGTATTCACATATCCATTTAGATGTAAAAACAAAACCCATACTAAGGACAAATCAGCATTTCCAGAAAAAATATAAAAACAAAACCCGCAACGGCCCGGCCCGAAACTACACAGATCCGTGCAAGAATATTATTCCTTCAGAAACAAGATCCTTTTTTTTCATTCAAAAAAAAAAAAAAGAATAAAATGATACAAGATCCCTTTACATGGTTTTTTATTTTTTTTATGATTAATTATTGCAAGCTACCCTTTGATTTTGATTCGAGTTCACAGAGTAATAGAAGAAAAAATGGAGTAAAAATGAAGCTTGAGTTGGTAAGGGGTATTTTATTTTATTTTATTTTTTTTTTTGAATTTTGTGGCCACTGTTTTTGGCTGCTTTACGACTTGGGTTTGTTTTTTATCGCGTGTGAATCATAGCGTTCGCCGTTGAGTCCTTTTCTCCATGGATGCGGTTCTTTTTTTGTGTTTACGAAACCATTTCGTCGGGTTTATAATTTATCAACTATTACTGACGGTTATATGATGATCTATGGTTATAAACTCGACGACGTAATGATTTCACAACGGAATGGTGTTTACATACTAGTATTGACAAATTAGTGAATTACTCGAGAGTTTCATAAAACACAATTAAACTCCTTCATGATGCCACTGGAATAGTAACAGAGACTTAATTAAATTTGCGATAAATCCGGCGAGCATTGCAAAATTACATTATAAATGTAATAATTCTAGGATTTTTGATAGTCAATTTGTTATCCACTCATCTATTATTGGTCCAAAAAAAAAAAAAAAGTTTGACCCAAAAAAAGTAGGTTACATGCCTTTTAATTTCGATAATTTGCCCATAAATCTACATTCCCCTTTTTAATTTTTTTATCAATCCTTATAAATTTTTATTATTTCTGTACTTTCTGCACATTTTTTTCTCTTTCCTCTAAATTACTCGTGTGTATATATATATATATATATATATATATATATACATATGATGAGCCAAAATAATTGACTCACCGAGGTTGCCGGTCGAATCGCCTCATCTCGATTAAGTGAGAGTTCGTATATCTCGATCGTCTTCAAAAACTGGACTGACCTGCAAAGCGCCGGGGCCCGAGACACTCCGACGCTCAAGTCATAAAACCAATATTTTGATAGTGTACATTACGTCTTAATAGCTTAGGATTAGAAAATGAACCTGGCCCTTTATTTATAAGATGTTTAATGACTTACTCCACAAGATAATAAGTTTCCTCAATAAACCAGAACTCTGATGTTCCTCAAGCTGTTTAGATATACATCAACTTTCATTAATATCTTTAACTAATATCATGTGTCTCGTAAATTAGGCTCCAACCTCCCTTGGACCGGCCTTATTCGAGCTAACCGGTCAAGTTGATCCACCGAGTTATTTCTGGTGCTACATCAATATATATGATTGTTATTTGGTTTTGCTATGAAGTCAACAGTTGGTTCCATAGTGGAGCCAACTTTCTATATACAACAAATAAACTTATCATATTAATAAAATTATATTATTGTATATAGAAGGTCGACTCCATTATGGAGCCAATTGTTGGTTCCATAGTAAAACCTATTGTTATCGATTTTGCTATGAAGCCAACAGTTGGCTCCATATTGGAGCCAACTTTCTACATACAACAAATAAACTTACCATATTAATAATATTATATTAATGTTATTTAAGTAATCAGAGAATATGATAGGTTTACTTGTTGTATATAGAAGGTCGACTCCATTATGGAGCCAATTGTTGGCTCCATAGCAAAACCGATTGTTATTATTAATCATTTATTTCAATTTGTAAATCAAAATTGGTCCTCACTGAAGAAAATCGGACCCTACTGAAGAAAAAAATGATCAAAGCGATACAATCGTCCTTAGCGGCCACCATCTCTGTCACCAGCCACTTCCCCAAAAATTCATCGGTCACCATCTCCGTCGCCACCTCCGTGAAGCTCGGCCCGCCACCTCTATGAAGTTGGGTCCGCCATCATCGTCAAAATTTTTATATTACACAAATCGTGGACTAAGTACAATTTTTAAATTGATTTATTGCGATCTTTATATACTTTTCATATCAAATATTTATGGTATTTAACCATACTTTGTTCTTCCCCTATAAATTTAGTCATTTTTTTTTATCATTTGTAGTCATCCTTCATTTGATTTTATTTTTAATATTCAAGTATCCGATTTTATCTTTTATTCAATTCAAAATGAAGTGTGAATTCGGTTTGATCGAGAAAGTCACTTGAACCAAGAAACTACTTATGAAGTTGCGAGTAATTCGACTAATTGGAAATAAATTTTTTGTTGAATACAAAAATTAATTTGAAATTATGTTTCATGATGAGGAGCTGAGAATAAATAATTTATTTTGAGTTTATTTTTTCATTGTTTTTTTTAACTCGTTTTTTAATTATGTGTAATATTAAAATCATTATATACTAATAAATATTTTTTTAAAATATTTATTATAAAGAGACCGTGTTATTGAAATCATAAGGGATAGATGCTCATATTAAAAAATGGATTAACAAAGTGAAAGAGGGAGAAATCTATGGATTTCAAAAGTATCATGTGGAGAACATTCCGTCTAACAATTACACAATTTAAATTGTAATTCACAGTATGACCAATTTGATTAGATTCAAAGGGTACTTTTCCATGTTTTGGTGATTTCTGAAACTTTACTACTCTTCGTTATGGTATTCGATAAGATCAAACAGTGCTCTTTGGTAATATATTAATCTATGTATTTAATTTATTCGTATTTATTTTTTCGTATAGATAATTGAGAGTGCTTTGAAAAATAATTAATTCACCATTTAATTGTAGTTGGTATTGATCTGATTATTGAAATTTGATCAATGCAAAATAAAGAGGTTAATGCCTTGACGGCGTCCCAACACAAATGATTTGTTTTCTCTCAATGATGGACAATAACAATTTTTATTTTATTTATTATAGAAGGAACAAGATAATTTAACACTACGGGTAATTTTGTTGATCGGCTTTTGGAAATTAAAAATGAATATGACAATGATCGTCATCCATATTTGCTCATTGTTCATCTTTGCCATACAAAACTAATGGGAGGTATTTTCGTTAAGTTAATTTATAATATATTTATGTTTTGTTAATTATAATATAAATATATTTAAGATATGTATTTTACTGTTTAACAAACATATTTATAATTTAAAACGATGTTAAATTTTAATTTTTTAATTATATTATAATATCTATTTTATATTTAACAAACACGCGTATATTTAAATATGTATCAACATTTCAGTTAATAATTAATTAGCCACTTCGAAGAATGTTACTAAGCTAATTGTTGGTCATGGTGTTCACGAGATTCGTGATTTGATTAACAAGCGTCAGGGTCGGTCTTTATCACATGTTAACATGTTTTTTTAAGAAACTGGTGTTCAATCACGGCCCGTTGTATGTATTTGTTTCCCGTGTCACTAATAGAGATAGATTGAAAATAGTAGTTGCAGGGAGGATGACATGCTTACAAAGAAAAAAATGTTGTTTATAAGAAGACTTTTAATAATATATAATATTAATTTTGTTATTCTAAACATTAATTTTCTATTTTAATGAATATAATAATTAGGTTGAGTAAATAACCTTAATATTGTCCATCGCACATTGCACGGGCTCTGCACTAATTCTTTTTTAAGAAGTCTGAAATTATTTTTCACTTACCATGCTTATAGTTATGGGAAGTTTATTTATTTAAAAAAAAAATTAAGTGGACAAAAATAAAATAAAATAAAAGAGTGGACCAAAACAAAACAACCGTATTCACAGAATACGTTTTCTTAAAAAAAATTAATCAAGAAAACGTATTATGAGAATACGTTTTCAAAAATAAAGTAAAATGTATTTTAAAAAAAAAAACGTTTAAAAAAAAAATAGGCAAATAATAATTAAAATGCATTTTTATAAAACGTAATTTGAAAATACGTTTTTTAGCAAACGTATTATGAAAATACGTTTCAAAAAAGAAATTTTGAAAAAAATAATATTTTTATTAAACCGTATTCTGAGAATACGTTTTACAATTAAATTGTCGGTAAACGTATTATGAGAATACGTGTTTTACGTTTAATATAAAAAAAAATCTCTTCCTCTCCATTTCATTCACGCATAACCCACGAACAGAAACTAAAAAAAAGAAGCAAGAAGAGCGATTTTTCTTCGTGAAAAAAAAAAATCTCGATCCAATCTTCATCCCGGCGTGAACCGACAATACCGACACGAGTCTCATTTCCGATTAATTCATTCGCACGAGGTATATTGTCTTATCTTTACGTTTTACATTATTTGAAGTTGTTTGGAGATTGAGAATTGGTATAATATGTTTGAATGTGGTGGTATTTGAAGATTGAAAATTGCTAATTGATTATCGATTATGTGTGTATGTTGAAATTGAGGATTGAAATTTTGTGTGTAAATTGTCAATTGTATATTGTTTGGTTGTTTTTGGGGTTAGGGTTTTTCGAAATTAGGGTTAGAATTAGGGGTTTCAATTTATCCGAATTATAGATGAATTTTATGTTATTGTTGGATTATGAGTTTAATGGTTTTGGATGATTATTTGATTGGGGCTATTTTTTGTTATTTTTTATTTTTTGTTGGAGAGTAAAAATTGAGTTTTTTTAGAAAAAGAATTGAAAGTGTTTATTTGCAACAGGTATAAAATGGTCTATCCCGGTCCATACCTTGTTAATTTGTACTGACATTTTGGGAAGGAAATGTTAAGCGATTTTGTTTCATTTAAAGATCGTCCGAGTGGTTCATTTATAATTCCGGGAAGGATATCATATGAACAGTTGGTACAGATGATTAATGAAAAATGTCTTCAAACACAGTTGGTACAGATGATTAATGAAAAATGTCAGTTTGAAGAAGGTTGGACAATTCAGGAGATTACTATGATGATTAGCCAACTTGATGGTTCGTGGAATCCCGCAATCCTCAATAACGATAGTTTTGAATGGATTTATTACTTTCCTAGTATGTCCATGGTGTATTTGCATTTATTGTTGCAGGCAAATACACCCGTTACACAGTTTGAGGATTTTACTCCTTGTTACGGGGGAGTGTTTGATGTCGAGGGTACATCGACTTCTCATGTACCTAATTTTGGAGAAGGGACATCGAGAGAATGGGCGGCGGATGAGGACGATGAAGATTTTATTCCCGGTGAAGATGACTTCACAGACGAGACCTCAGAAACCGAATCAGATAGATCGGTTAATGAGGAGAGTGAACCCGAGTTCATCGAAGAAGAACACCCATTTCCTATTGGTGGTCGGCACATATACCGCGAGATGGGTGAATGAGACCCGTCCAGGATAGATGCGAACGAGTATGCTATTCCACGGTGGAATGGCGACATTGAGACCATACGTTTGGGTACAGTTTTCCGGAGCAAGGAAGAAGCCCAAACGGGTCTAATGGCTTGGAACGTCGATAGGTTACGGGAGGTTCGGTCAAAAGATTCAAATCAGAAGACATTCAAACTGGTCTGCAAATC